TTCTTTCCCTTTTCAACCTTATGCTCTTATAAAAATTAGCAATCTGCACCATCAACATCTTATTAGTTGCTAGGCGGGGAGTATCCGTTCAAGTTGTAGAACACTAGTAGCTTCGTATTAGATACTACAAAAAGAATCTATAATGAAAAAATTTTTTCTTTCTTTTGTAGTGTGGTTCAATGGGATCGGATCTGATTTATTGTAATTGTTGTTGTGAAGCATATCATCCAGGCTGTTTAAATAATTATGAACGTCCTCGATTAAATTTATTATCTGATTCATGGTTATGTCCAAATTGTAATGTATGTAATATATGTGGTTTATTAACTCATCGAAATTTTTTATCACGAATGACAAATGAACAAAATTTATCTTCTCAATTATTATCTTGTTTTGATTGTAAAAGAAATTTTCATATAAAATGTATAAAAAAATTAAAAGATGATCAATTTAATGAATTAACTAATCTTACTAATAATAATAATACAGCTGTATCTCTATCACGTTTATCAAATAGTTATTTAATAAATCAAACATGGTTTTGTCCATCATGTATTAAATGTGATTGTGGACAAGCATTAATATCAAATGAACGTAATATACTTTCATTAACAAAAACATTTTCATCTCAACAATCACTTATGTGTATTGATTGTTTAAATAATATAAAATTAATTCGTATACAAAAAAATGATAATATTGAAAAATGTCATTTATGTGAAAAATATATTGAACAAATTTTATTTAAACAACAACAAAAACAAATAAATTATTTTTTACAATGTATTAAATGTAAAAATCGTTTTCATCCAAAATGTGATGGATATTTAAATGAAGATGCTGAAATAATACCACATATTAAACATTTATGTTTAAATATTATTTGTTCAAAATGTGATTTAGATGAAAAAGAAAAAATTAAAAAATATTTAATGGATTATAAACTTCAATGTAAGAAAATAAATAGCTTTTCGATAGATTAATCAGATTTTTATTAGAACACTATATGGTATTTGTAGACGAAAAAAAAAGACTCACTGACAGTGACGTATCCAGGATTTTTCAGTATGCTGAATCTCGACTTCCGAGTGTGGGACCCAGATGAAACTCATGGAGGGGGATGCTGAGTCCAAA